TTCCTGAAGAAACAATGTTATGATTTCAAGATGATCAGGTTTTGTCCTACCGGGTTTTCCTGACGTGCTGAAGCAACGGTAGCTGATGGCCACAAGATACACTTGAAGATGTGCAGATTGGGCTTTGTTCAAATCAGTTAAAATATGTTTAGGAAATAGTCATTCAAGGGGGAGTGTTATGAAATAATAAAATAATGTATGTGAATGACTATTTTGCCCTCGATGTATTTGTATTATTACAAATTGTGCCATCAGGAGTTTCCTATAAATAGGAGCTTCAGTTATAATGAAAAACACACCTAAGAGAATACATTTTCTCTATTCTCTCTCTTTCTCTCTAGTTTTATAACAAAAATATCTTTATTAGCAGATAAAGAATATTTGTACCGTATGTTGAGTATTTTTCTCTTGAAAAAATAGGCCAAATAATTCTCGGGGGCTCAAGGGCCAATTACCTTTATGGTGACAACAATCTCCTTGGCCCATAAATGAGTTTTAACCACACGCAGCTAGTTAGAGGGAAGAAAAGAGGAATTGCGCAGCCACTTGAGAGATACCACATAGTAACAAAGAAAAAAAAGGGAGAGAGAGCAACCGCCAAACTTACGCAAGACCAGAGCACGGACGCGAACACCCGCACACGAAAGAAGATAATTTTATTCTCTTTCTTTTATAATTTGTTACGTTATAATAGTTTTTATTTCTAGTTCTGGAGATGTGGAACCCTACGTACTTGATTATGTTTATTAATTAGTTACGGTGATCAATTATATTGTTGTTTATATAGAATTGATTACGTAATTTTATTTTAGTCAACCATGATGTTTATAATCTTATTTAGATTGATCACCTAGATAGGATTTTTTATTATGTTATTTTGTTTTGGTCAACCATGATGTGTATAATCTTATTTAGATTGATCACCTAGATAAAACTTTTAATGTATAACGCTATAACTGAACTTGCAATCCGAAATTGTTGTTGAGTTTACTTCATTAGTAGCAAACAATAGTAGGATACTATCGAGAACAATACGACCTAGTTAAGTAGACCGAGTGTGTGAGTCTACTACTTATAGACTAGCCTATTTTTCTACCTAAAGCTGCTACTGCATTAATCTAGAAAGTTTGTTCTAAACTGTTCTGTAGTTAGATTTAACCGAAGAGCTTACTTTGGTTGAATATAATGTAAGGGAAAATTCAAGTAGCTGAGCTTGTTGTTACATAGAGCTTGTTGTTACATAGGGATATTAATTTTTAAAGATAGTGAAACTTGAAATCACAATTAGTTAGACAAATTGATATGTTGTATTTTTTTTTTTAAATGATATATATATTTACATATATGGTTTACATTATATTTATTATTTCCTTCCCAAATAGATACTCATAGATGTGCTGCAAATTTTATTATCATATTTCAAATTTGGAATTATTATCAGATTTTGGATTTAGAACTATTTTTGAAATTTATTTATCAGATTTTAAGGGCGGAAAAACTAAAAGTATTTTGGAACCATTAATAAGTATGATAAAGTGAAGAAAAAAGGATAAAAGATTTTTAACATATTAAGAAGTTGAAAGCCAAAAAAATGGAAAAAATTTAAAAGGAAAATGATAAGATGATATATACATTACAAAATTATAAAAAGAATTTAGGAAGTATGACAAAAGTGAAGACTAACAAGTTACGTATTTGAAAATTTGTAATTAATGATATTAAAATCAAACTTGAAACACTATCTAAAAAGTGAAACAATTTTTCTTTTTTTATAAAAAAAAAAGATATTAAATCAATTATAAAACAGTATCCACAATAAGAAAAAAAAAATCTATGTTCCCAAAAGATCTAGGTGGAATAAAAAAATAGTTACTTTAATTAATTTTTAATTAACCCCTTATGAAGAAGGAAATAAAATCTATACTTGTTTCCATTTAAAATTTCATAATTTAAATAATTTTAGAAATTTCTAAATTTAGTAAATTTGAGATGTCTAGGTGGGATTTTACCTACTACGTAAATCCTTGGCCTTTATTATATAGAAATAGATTGGTTAATGTCTCAAGCATATTATTATATTATCGATTATCGATCATACATTCATGCCTCGTAACTTATTTCAAGAAAGATAACCTTTGCTCTTTAAGCTTTCGACAGAATCCTTGACAATTTGCTCAAGTGGAATGAATTCTAGGCCCAAGTCTATTAGCTTCTTTGATGCATCTCTAATTTCCATTCCAGGTAGAGCAATCTTTGGTAGCCTAAAAATATTGACAATATGAACCGATAAATGATAATTAGCAGTGATGAAGCAAAACTGATGGATGACCATTAGAAGGACAAAAATATAAGAAACAACAATGGTGAGAAAACTAGAATTTGTTCTCACGACAACTTAACTGATCGTAAATGGATAAGATTCATGTTTCTGAGAAGAACTCACAATTAATGTGTACCCAAACAATGGATTAGGAGCATCTTAATCTTACCTAGGAATCTTGTACTCGGGGTAAAGTTGTGCTAACTTAGCAGCGAAATCATCATATTGGGATAAAGACTCAACACACAGGTGCCTTCCTGTTGCAACTTTGTTTTCGTATACTAGTATATGTGCAAAAGCCGCATCTTGAACGTGCACGAATCCCATAAAGAACTCTGCAGGAATTTCATTGCCTGCACCCGGAACATAAAAATCATGAGCAGATTTGACATGATTTTTTTGAAAAACATAAATGCTCCCAAGACTCCAAGAGTTCATATTTATAAAGATTTTCTAAGCATATACAATAATTCCTTCTTTTTTCGTTTTTCTTCTCTTCTCTCTTGTTTTCCTTCTTTCCTCTTTGCCCAGTATACAACATCTGAACATTGAATATATCTTTTGGCTTTAGACTATCTTCAAGTACACAAGTTTTAATGGATTATTTGCATAACAGCTATGTGGCTTTACCCTGAAGGAGGCTTCGAGTCAATATCATGCTTGCATTTATTGTTGGGGGAATAATTGGACCAAGGACCGTTCCAGGGTTCACCACCACAATATCCAGACTATTTCTCTCAGCAAATGTCCATGCAGCTTTTTCAGCAAGGACTTTAGAAAGAGGATACCAAAGCTAACACCAAAATGAAATCTTGAAAGGTAAACAATTCCATAATGGGCTTGTGTACTTAAGTGCATAACAATGATATCAAACAATGGTTGGATCGTTAGTCGATACAACAGAAGGCTTAAGTAGCATTGAAGTCAACGATTCACAAATCATATCCGAAAAGGGCATTGACACTTAAGTGCACAATAATGATATCAAACAATCTAGATCGTTAGTCGATACAACAGAAGGCTCAAGTAGCATTGAAGTCGATGATTCACAAATCATATCCAAAAAGGGCATTGACATGCACGTTGAGTTTATTGAAGTAATTAATATGTCACCATAACTGAGGTACTGACTGAGAATGATATAGAGCTTGAAACTATCATTACACTCTTCATAGGTATATCTTTGTTCTACTCTGCACTTACATCTTGGTAACTAAGTCCAGTAATAATAGATAACAGCCGGATCTTCATCAATACCAACTTGTTACTTTTGATCACACTGTAGCTGAAGTAGATAGGATGTCAGTCAGTCATTTAAGTGCTGTGAAATTACGATGCAAAATCAAACACCGAAAATCTGATAAATTTACTTGGAACGACATGGTCTAACTTGAATTGAATGTATACATGTATGTATGTAATCCTCTATGCAAAATTATCAACTAAATCAATCAACGGAATTTCATACCCCCTTGTGCTTGCAGGACTCCTCATCAGCCCAGCAATCCTCATTCCTAGCCGCATCAACCAGACAGTTTGGGCAGATAATCATGGCCGATAAAGACGACGTGACGACCACGCGCCCAACCCCAACCTCTTTGGCCGCAGTCAGTACATTAATGGTGCCCTCAACCGCCGGATTCAACAGCTCCCGCTAAATTTTGACCCGAAAATTGTTCAATTAACGCACTGATTAATACGCACGCCTCGAGGATGGAGTAAAATAGGGCAAGCACCTGGGGATCGTGGACTCGATCGACGGAACAGGGAGAAGCCACGTGGATCACGCCGGCGGCGCCTCTGACGGCGGCAACGATGGAATCGTATCGGAGTAAATCCATCTGGAAGAGGTGGAGACGTGAGTCGGCTCCATCCATGGCCTGCAGGTGCTTCGTTTCTCTCTCATCGCCGATATCTTTTACGGTGGCGTGGACGGTGTAGCCGCGGCGAAGAAGTAGCTGGACGATCCAAGAGCCGATGAAGCCGCTGCCGCCGGTGACGCATACAACGTCTCCTTCCCTGTTTACCATTTTCTTTCCGACTCGCTGACTAAAACTTTTGGATGGATAATTTGATACCGTTATAAATAATAAATATATTCTTATATTCTTATATGGACATATCATTACTAGCCCATTATTTATGGAAATTAGAGGTTAGATTTTGGTCTATTTTGTAAAGCTTATAAAATACTTGGTGAAAATAAGGAATTCTATTTACAACAGATCACATTTTATATTTTTCAGTCATTCGATTTGACGAACTTTACATATCTTTTTCTTTTCAATTTGACTCGCGATTTTGTTTTTTAAACTGAAATAAGATTGTTATAGTTTTTTTCAAAATCCTACTCAAATTTAATTTAATTTTATTTAATTATTTTAATATTTTTAATATAACTAAATAATATAATTTACCATTAGACTGCTGGTTTTCAACAAAATTCGCTATTTATTCATTTCAATATTTTTAATTATAGTTATTTACATTTCTCATTTTACTACTTTTCAGTCACATTAATTGTACTTATTATATTTTAACAACTATATATTCATAAAATCAAAATCAAATCCAACTTTTCACTTATTAATATTATTAGTTTTTAATTATTTTCTCACTTTATATGATAAACTAATTAAAAAAAAAAACATTTCACATCCGAGATGGTTAAAAATCAAGAGTAAATTATGTCTATAGTCCATCCATCCCAATGAGTAGGATATCACCATCAATGAAATTTATGAATCTAGTTCTTTGACGTTAGATTTTGATGTCCCAAATTGTAAAGAAGTTCATAGAACTGAGCTATCTCTCCAATTTCCTGAAAAGAAGCATGCAAATATGTGATGCATCAACTCTCAAGTTTCAAACGCCTGGCTTCATAATCAGTAATGCTCATTAGTGTAGACCAGAAATCACACAACCTATCATCTAAATTTCTGCACATAATACTCGAGTTCTCCAAGTCTCTCAATGTCTTTAATGCTACTGATAAGCTACATGAAGATAGGATATAACAACAGCTCACAGGAAGGAATCAGGCTACAAAACACCACTCGAGGTAAATGGGACAAAGAGAAGAAAAAACGGAAAAGAAAACAAAGCAATATACAAGACTGATCAAGATTCGGCCGCAGTTAAGGGTGCTGAAGCTGTGAAAAGTATGCTTTGTCAGCACTCGCAAGACGATCCTGGAAAAGTGCCCACTCATGTTTGCATCTATCACGTACCTAAAACAAAAAAAAATAAAATATATTAGCTACGCCAACAAAACAAATATAGCACAAGGCATATAATTGCAAAATTATCCATTAGGATGCTCCCAAAGAATCCTTGTCCCAAAACGAGATGAACAGATGATTTTTTTACTTACAATAAGTATCCTAAATCTCGAATGTTTCAAAGATACAATTAAAAAAGTCCAATATTGCCATCTCATTGCAATTGGAACAGAATATAGTTATGAAACATGTGGAAACCAAAAGATGCAGGAAAATTTGGACATACGTACCCCTTGCCAAGGTGCCTTGCCATTCTCAGCTTCCCCCTGAGTATTAATGACAAAGCTTGAAATCAGTATACATGTGTAAATGTGACACCAAAGAGTAACACAAGAATGTGGCATGTAATATATTCGTATAAGGACTGACATAATATTTAGAGAATCAGTCAATGTGTTAACTGTACTGGAGTATGGTTAGGAAATTCCCGCCAAACAATTCATGTGTACTAACCAAATAAATGAAATATAATCATAGAAGAAATAGTTCTTGAGGTCTAACCTGACTTCCAAGTGATGGGATTACTTGGTGGACAATCCACTGGGAGTCAACAACGCCAATTTTTTCATGTGCAGGCTGCAAGGGTAACAAAATCAAGTTAGAGGATTTGGACAAAGAACACAATGGTCTTCCAAGAATTAGCTTATGCAACACAATAATGCCATAAACTGGATTGTCATATCTCTGTACTCCTATTACATCTCAACTTGTGTAAACATGATTCCTTTAATTGTGTCTTCTCCTCCCACCTTGAGTATTAACAATTTAACTGTCAATACTTGACTTTAATATTTTTAATTCCTTTTTTTTTTTGTTATTTTTATTTCCTGAGAGAGAGAGAGAGAGAGACTAACATCCACACATCTTCTTAATGCAAAATCCAATCCCCATCCATGAACCAAGTCATTCTGCAAATATATAATACGGTCAGATAAAGTACTTTAAAACCACGGCCTTTCAACAAAGATAAGAACATTTAACACAGCTGAAATACGAAACAGAATCGTATGCACTCAAAACTAAAGGCTACCTGAATCATATGCCAAACACATCTCCAAGCATCTCGAGAAAACACTGGAGCCATAATTTCCACAAAACTGAATTAAAGAATAAAGAGATACAAAGATTATCAAAGTGTATCAGCCAAACCTTGATGAACATGGATCAAAATATCATAGGTGTTTTAATTTTTTTTAACATTTATTGTTATTATTAATGCACCAGTGTATACCTACACTAACAAGAACAAAAAGCTGCACAAATATTACTTTTGCATATATTACTCTTCCACCGTATGACAATCCCACTATCCATCCCACAGGGATACAAGTTTTTAGCAAACTTGATAAAAGGTGATCCCCTCAACTATCATATCCCAAATGCAATTGATGGCACAAGTAATTAACCAAGGAGACAATTATATGCCAGTAAATAAACACAAGTATTGTTGCATTCAATTCATCTATATAGCATGAGATAGAGCATATACGCTGCACAAGGAGGTAAATGTGGATCACTGCACCAGCCCGGTTTTTCCTCTGTATCCCTGTTAACAAGATCCACGCACTCTCAGGTTACAGATGAGGAGAGGTATGAGGGGACACGAAATTCGGATGGTAATTAGTAAATCAATAGACCTACTTGTGAACTTCTCTATCACCACGCCTTTTTGTCATTTGCCATGTCAGCCCATTGTTGGGTTCAAGACCTGGTTGTGAAATCTCTAGTCCATGTTTCTTAACCAATTGTACATACCTAGCATGTGGACAAGGTTCAACATCGGTTAATAATTTAAAACATAATAACATAAATGGCAGAACTGTAATGCATTAGGGCATGCTTGTTTATGAAATAATTTGCTCACATTTATTTCATACTCAAAATCTAACTCAACTTTAACTCAACCCCACTATCCTTAATATGATTTATATAATTAAATATTATAAACCAATCATTCTTATATATCACATCAACATTAATTCACTATTCATCCACTCACATAATTTTAACTACCTATCATTTCCAATCATTTATCTCCTACTTTTACATCAAATCAATAATAATCATTTTAATTTAAATATTATTTTAATACATTATTAAAATCCCACTAACAACTAACCATACCACCTTTTTCAAATTTAACTCTAGTTAATCAAAATAACTCATTTTGAGCAAACTATTTCATAAACAAGCATGCCCTTAGGGACTACACTCCCCCACCCATACACACAGACACACAAGAAAATGAGAAAAAAATTAATATATTTAAAGTAATAATAGTTACTTTTCAGCATCGAAGTGTTCAACTCCAAGATCTTCATCCCAAATGAAGATGTAGTCATAAGCAGCCACAATATCTGGATGTAGGAATCTCTTTGCATACCACCTGCACAAAAAAAAAAANGCACAAAAAAAAAAAAAAGACAAATCAAGTCATGCACATGTAAAGAATCTAATGATTAATAATTTCACTATCCAACAACTTGACGCTAGCCTCAAATTCAGATAGAGCGTTCAAGTATCTGAATATCTTAAACTTAAACTACGGCATCCACCTTCAGCAGCTAGAGTAGGGTGTCCTAATCTTTCAGTAATCAAGTTAACAAACAATATTGTATGGTTTATAAGACTTCCAGATTCTTAAACATGCTGTGATTTGAGTTTAAATATTATCAGCGCATGTCCACAAAGTTTGCATTTGAAAACAATACATACTCAACAAAATAACTCTCAATCCAGATGATACACTTCATAGGCTCTAGTCTATGACATTGGGAACCCAACACCCATAGGGGACAAGAAAGATTGATATGACCTTCAGAATATTACCATTTAGTTTGTCTTCTAACACTGACATGAATGGCACGCTGTGACCACTCAAATATATCCCATTCAGTTGTCCGGCCATCATAATGAAAAAGCATTATCTGAAAATCCTCAGAGAACTACAAGTACATGGAAAATCAGTCTCATGTAATAGTGGTATCTTTGGGGAAAAAGTAAAAGAAGAAATCTACAACTTCATAACGAAATTCTGAACTGGCTTAACCTTTTTAACCGCAGCATTAATATTGTCCTTTTGATTCCAACCAACTGTAAATGTTACTAGATACTTCGGCTTCCTTTTCAGATCCTGAAAGTTGCAGAATGTTAAAGCATACTAAAAGTTAAAAAAAAAATCCTATCATAGTTTAATAAACCTATGGACTGAAGCTGCAGAATGATATGTTTTGACATCAACAGTCTCTTTTGCCACATCAACTGTGCAGTCAGTGCTAACAAATCATTCTTGCAGAGTTGAAGAAAATACCACAGAAGGACAGGAATGAATGCAATTGCTTCTAACCAAACAGTTTTTACACCATTCCAAGTATTTAAAAGAGAGAACAAAAATGAATCATACATAATATTCAATAAAAATATAAAAATGCTCACAAACTAATCCCTTCACTGATTATTTTAGTACTAATAGACAGAAATCTGCAGAAATCAAGAAACATAAGTTCGTAACAGAAGGGAGATATATATATCACTACGTCCAAATTGGTCGCATCTTACCTCACTAGGTTCACCCCATAACCTTCTCAGATAAAAATCTGATTTTGACACAACAATTCCTGGAGGTAAAGACTCAGCACCACGAGGATTTGTAGGAACATATATCTGCAAGACAGAAAAATATTTAAAAACTAATCCCGAACTGATATTAGAATCAAACAGTGCATGATGCAAAACTGTATTATACATGTTCCAACCTATTGATCCTTGTACTTTACCAAGAAACACAAAAGATACCAATTGACCTTTAGGGGAAGATCAATTATTTTTTTGTGTGAATTGATGTAAGATGAAAATGTATGATTAAGTTGATTTGATAGGGGAATAGTAAAATAATATTGGTGGTTAAAAGAATGTGAGTGGATGAATAGTAAATTTCATCGGGATATGTGTAGTGATGATTGATTATTTTAAAAATTATACTGATAAAATTGAGGAGAAAAAGTAAGATGGGTAAATAGTGTATTTTTCTCTAGTAGATGAAAATCCGATTTATCTAATATCCAATTGCATCCGAACTGTTCCAGGTTTTCCAACTTACTTTTCATTCTCGTCTTGTTAGGAAAACCAAACACATATATTATAGTGGCATGTAAACTACCGTTGAAAGATATAGGCACTAATGCCATTTTATAGTAAGGAATTAAACAATTGATATCTGATTTGCCCAGCACACAAGTGAAAAAATGAGGTAATAAAATCAAAATCATGCCATCATTAAATGTGTAAAATCATCAAATTTCAGTAGGATAACATGAGTAATACCAAGGGAACAATTACAAGAAAGTACTACCTTGGGTGTTAAAGGAGTACTCCCTGAACCAAGGTTTTCAGGAAAACTACGATCATCAGATGTATGGTGGCCATCATGAAAAGCCATATCAATAGATGATATTAAACTTGAAGGTAGATTAATCTGAAAAAAAAAAAAAAAANATCGATTATATAACAATAATTATCTCAAGGAAAAAAAGAACATTTTCCATTGACCATGACAGAAAAAGCGCCATACCTTGCTTAAAGAAACAGAAGGAAATGAAACACCTATACAATATCCAAACACCATCCCAATGAGGGTTGTTAGAAAGAGACGCACACCATCATTTGACCTCTTTACGCCTCCACTGCATATGCAGCGCACGAGTAAATTAGAATGCTGAAGTGTTCAAGTAATTATTTAATAGTACATTGGAATACAAAGGCGAACCTCCTATGCAAGTTCCCCATTCTGATTAAAGAGTTGCTCAACTTAAAGGTGATGCACTAGGCAGAAACCAAATTTTTGAGCAACTGCACAATATTATACAGCATCTGCCACCTTTACAAATTTGAATTGGCACCTCCACGAAATGACAACCCTACAAAACGAAGTTCACAATATAAATTGCATAAGGTTCATCACAATCTTAAACCTTAAGTTATCACGAATCTGTCAATTATAGAATCTTATTTTAAAAATTCAAAACAGTTGAAACATAACTATTCAGCAAATTTTCAAACCATTTCAAATTATTTAGCAGACAACAAGCACCTTAAGTGCATAGTGAACTATACCCACATCACCAAAAAGAAAGAACAAGAAGAATATTAAAATCTGTGGCTCCACAATATTTTAAAAATTTTACTCTTAGAACTTAATCTTGGAAAATACCTTCTACAGCACATACAACGAAAAGGCATCCTAAAACACAAAGCACAAATGATCTATGGCTACTCAAGATTAACCAAAATACTAATGTTTGTAACTAATCAGGAAATTTTAACTAAACTTTTGATTAAAATAACAAACAAATCTTAAACCCAAGTTCGGGGGAAACGATATATTAAGAACCCGAAGCAATTAGTTGTGCCTTCCACTATTGATCAATTTGGACACGCCAAACTAATAAATTCACATGAAAAGAAACAAAAACGCCAAAAATCCACTTCATTTCTTGAGATCGATCAACGAATTCCCAATCACACGGGTAAGTGCAAACATGGAAGCTTATCAAATTATATATCATTATTCGGTAAAATCGAAAATAATAATAAGTTCAGCTACAAAGATATCAACGCTGAAATCATGTAGGGTACCAAAAAGGGAAATCATACAGGAGTTGGGAGCTTACAAATTTGGGCCGCAGATTCGAACGGGAAGAGAGAGAAGAAGAGAAAAAGAGGTCCGTCTCTATTGGGTTCCTGATCGTAATCTATACTTATATTAAAGGGATTATATTTATCAAATTAAGTAGCCAAAAAAGTCAACAATATTTATTGCATTACTATTTTCGTATTATATTATATAAAAGAATATTCTATTTATTACTTTTACTATCCAGAAAAGTCAACTGCATTAAATGTTATCACTATTTTGGTATTATAATAATTTATTTATTTAAGTAATTTATTTATTTATTTTATTTTAAAAAAGTAAGTATAATAAAAAGATTTTAATAATAAAAAAATCAAATACCAAATAAAAATATACGCTTTGACTTATTTGATTATATTTGGTATTTGATTATACTAAATATATTCCTATTTAGTATATACATTAAATACTTGCTAAAGTATTTATTTATTTTATTTGTCAAAGTTAAGTATAGATTTGTTTATATTATCAAATCATAAAAAAAATATTAAATCCATATTGTGAAAAAACAAATTCATATAATTTTATAACAATTCTACTAAACTATTTAATAATATTTCTTTTTTATTATATAGTAAAATAATAATTAAATATTATATGGTGAACAACAATAAGTAAAACTGTTACTTTCTCTTATATCAAGGGATAAATTTATATGCTAAAATTAAATTTTTATTAGTATAAATGTTTTAGTGAGATAATATATTAATTGATATCTCACTCAAACCTCCCCCAGACCTGCGAATTCAGTCTCATAAAACATATTTTTGTGTCTTTTGTTCGATTTTCGGCGAATTGAAGCTCCATTCGAGAAGAGGTTAGTTTTTATTTTAATGTAGTGTAATATTATTTTTTTTTTGTTTATGAATGTTTAAGATATATATTTGGTTGATTGAGTATTGTTTATAAAATCTTGAATGTTGGTTTAATAGTTGTGTTAAATGGTTATAATTTGTTATTTGCTATTGTTTAGAAAATCTTGAATGTTGGTTTATTGTATGTTGAATATTTATTCGAATTGTTTATGAATTTGATGTTATTGTTGGATTATGTTGATTAGGGTTTTGGTGGTGTTTTTTGATAAATTATGGTAATTAAGGTTTTGGTGGTGTTTTTGATAAATTAATTGACAATTTTATTTTTTTTGTTGGAGTAAAAATATGATTAATTATGTGTTGTTGTAATTTATAAAATAGAATTTTTTTTTTTGTGCAACAGGTTATAAATGGCGTCTAACGGTCCTTACTTTCTTAATGTGTACTGGAAAATTCCCCAGAGTGAGTTATGGAATTTTTCGAATTATATGTCTCGTCCGGATTGTTCATTTGTTATTAATGGAATAATATCATATGAACAATTGGTAGATATGATTTACGAAAATGGTGGGTTTCGTGATAGTTGGACAATTTCGGATATTACTTTGATGGCCAGACAACCGGATGGTTCGTTTATTCACGGAAGACTGAATAATGATAATTCTCTTTCATGGATTTACTACTTTCCTCCTATGTCCTATGTGTTTTTGTATATAGTGTTGGAAGAAAAAACACACAGGTTCACAGGTTGAGGATCCTATGCCATCATATGGTTACGAGGGAATGTTTGGTGGCGAGGGTACGTGGACTACGGTAATTTTGGTGAAGGGACGAGTAATTTCGGTGAAGGGATGAGCTTTACCATGAGAGGACCGGACATTGAGGAAGAAATTGTTGGAGATGAAGATTTCAGTCCCGGGGAAGACGATTTCACTGATGAGACCTCGGAAACCGAATCGGACAGATCTATTAATGAGGAGAGCGAACAAGAATTTATTGAAGACCACCCCTTTCCAAATGAAGGCCTCAACGTATATCGCGAGATGAGTGAGTGGGACGCGTCGTGTGTAGACAGAGACGAGTATGCCTTGCCAGTTTGGAATGGGCATGTCGAGACTATCCGTTTAGGTACAGTTTTTCGTACCAAGGAAGAAGCCCGGACTGGTATAATGGTCTGGAATGTTGAGAAGCTTAAGGCGGTCCGGACAAAAGATTCCAACAAGAAGTCGTTCAAAGTTGTGTGCAGATCAGATGAAGTTGTACCATGTATATGGAAAGCTCGGGTGAGTCTTAACAAACGGGATCACGACATGTGGGAGGTAACCGAATGGACCGATAGCCACACTTGCATGCAGGTGTTCGAGAGAAATGACCACAAGAATGTGACCGCCACCATGATCTAAAATCTTCTATTGGCTAAGATTCAGAAGCAGGTGACCTACATTGTGGAAATGGTCCAGGCCGACGTAAAAAGTGCCTGGAACGTCGATGTCAGCTACAAGAAGGCGTGGCACGGGAGAAAAAAAAGCCATCGATCGTCTGTATGGCACGTGGGAATCGAACTTCGCACAACTCCCCCAGTAAGCAAAATTAATTATAAATGTATTTACGTGTTGCTTGTAACTATATTTATTTATTTATTTATTTATGATTACCTTTTATAATTTGCAGGTTTTTCGCCGCCCTTCAAAGGGTGAATCCCGGCACAGTCGTTGAGTGGGAATGGCAGGGTGGGGAAATGGCGAAGCAATCTCGAGACAGAGAATTCAGATTTGTCTTCTGGGCGTTCGGCCCCGCCATTCAAACCTTCCTTCTTTGTCCGCCGATTATTAGCATTGACGGCACGCACCTGCGAGGTTCGTACAAGGGAAATCTACTTGTTACTTGCAAATTAATTTTTTATTTTCTAATTTACAATAGTGTCTGATTAAAAAAACATATGTCCAACTGAGCAGGTTCGTACAAGGGGAAGCTGCTTGTTGCCATAGCACAGACCGCGAATAAGCGTCTATTGCCAGTCGCGTATGCGATTGTGGACGAAGAAAGCACGGCTAGCTGGTCCTTTTTCCTAACACATCTGTGCCATCATGTTGTCCCCGACAGACCGATATGTCTTCTTTCCGACAGGGACAATGGCATATTGAGTGCCGTTGACTTACTGGAGACTTGACTTACTGGAGACTTGGCACGAACCCCATGCGTTTCATCGGATATGCCTTCGACACCTCCGGAGCAACGTGTTTTCAAGGTACCGGACTAAGAAAATCTGGGGTTTGTGCTGGAGGTTGGGTTCACTGTGTTCTCGCCGCAAATTTGAGCAGAGTCGACAGGAACTCCATGAATGTAACCCGGAAGCATACAATTATCTTTTCCAAATTCCTTTGGAAAAGTGGACACTGTACGGAGATAGAGGACGTCGATGGGGCACTCTGACAACCAATATGTCAGAGAGTTACAACAACGTCCTCAAAGGTGTTAGGTTTCTGCCCTGCAGAGTGTTGGTACATGCCACAATGAATAAGACACTGGATTTGTTTGAACAGGAACAAAACAAGTCCAGAGGATGCAGGAGTCACATTCCTACCGACCTCTATGCCGCCTATCTGGTGTTAGATAGGACAGCGGCGACTCACGAGGTGCGATGTGTGGACGCCGATGGATCCCAGTACAGGTCTACGCGTCAATGGAAGAGGGCAAAACAAGTATGTACTTTTTACTTGGAATTTTTTTTCCCATTCAAATGAGTTTTTTTTTTTATTTATATATATAAATCATTGTTGAAAACAGGTTTGCGGTTAATTATCAGCAGCATTGTTGTACATGTAACAAGTGGCAGACATTTCGGAAACCATGCTCTCATGCATTGGCCGTCTGTCGTCACCGGGGTGATCAACCGCACTTGTTGTACGATTCCCACTTTTGGACGAATAACTGGGTTGCTCAATTTTCTAATTGGAATTTTGCTCCAATTGGAAATCCTGGCACGTGGCCGCAGGTGGGATGGAATTTGATTCCGCATTGGGAAAGGATCATCTCGAAGCCTGGACCCGGTCACGCCCAAACGAGACGCTTTAAAATGCAAATGGATCGTCGGGCGCGCCGCAAAAGAGCCCGGGATCAATGCAGTAGATGTGGTGATCCCGAACATTTCGCGGACCATTGCCCGTATTCGCATCCTCCCACCGATCGAATTAGACTCCGTGATGATTGGGGAAACTAGATTTTTTTGTATGTATTTTGACTGAATCGTATTGTTGAGATAAATATTTTGTGTTTGGATGTTTATATAATGTATTTCGGATGATTTTGAAATCGAACTTGAATTAGTACAATTGAAGTCAATTATAGTGAAATCGAACTCGAATTAGTACAATTGAAGTCAAATTATAGTGAAATCGAACTCGAATTAGTACAATTGAAGTCAATTATAGTGAAATCGAACTCGAATTAGTACAATTGAAGTTAATTATAGTAAAATCGAACTCGAATTAGTACAATTGAAGTCAAATTAGTACAATTGAAGTCAATTATAGTGAAATCGAACTCGAATTAGTACAATTGAAGTCAATTATAGTGAAATCGAACTCGAATTAGTACAATGGAAGTCAAATTAGTACAATTGAAGTCTATTATAGTGAAATCGAACTCGAATTAGTACAATTGAAGTCAAATTAGTACAATGGAAGTCAAATTAGTACAATTGAAGTCAATTATAGTGAAATTGAACTCGAATTAGTACAATTGAAGTCAATTATAGTGAAATCGAACTCGAATTAGTACAATTAAAGTCAATTATAGTGAAATCGAACTCGAATTAGTACAATTGAAGTCAAATTAGTACAATGGAAGTCAAATTAGTACAATTGGAGTCAATTATAGTGATATCGAACTCGAATTAGTACAATTGAAGACAATTATAGTGAAATCAAACTCGAATTAGTACAAATGAAGTCAAATTAGTACAATTGAAGTCAATTATAGTGATATCAAACTCGAATTAGTACAGTTGAAGTCAAATTAGTACAATTGAAGTCAATTATAGTGATATCGAACTCGAATAAGTACAATTGAAGTCAAATTAGTACAATTGAAGTCAATTATAGTGAAATCAAACTCGAATTAGTACAATTGAAGTCAAATTAGTACAATAGTGTTCAATTATAGTGAAATCGAACTCGAATTAGTACAATTAAACTCGAATTAGTACAATTGAAGTCAAT